GACAGGGCTTGGATTTCAATTCAGGTCTGTATGGGTCCCTAAATCCCTGTCCTTCAGATACACACAACCCTATGGTCCAATTCCCCTTGAATGAACTCTCTTGCTCATACTTAAGGCTTTTACACTGGATAACAAGAGAAGTAGACATCAAGGAAATTTATATGTATATATATTTTGTTTGTTTGTTTGTCTTTTGGGTTTTTTTTGGCACCGGGATCAAACTTGGGTCCTTGAGCTTGCGCAGCAGGCGGCGAAACCACTGAGCTAAATCCCCGGCCCCTGAAGTTTATATTTTTAAAGTGATAACCACATAAATTATCCCTATGTTCTCATTATGTAATTGCTTATTTTCAAAAGACTTTCATAGGCTTTATTTGGGTAAACTCTACCCAAGTGCTTCTCAGATTTTGCTATGAAAATGAATGACTGAAGATCTTCATTAAAGGTAGATTCTGAGTCAACAGACCTGGGGAAGGGCCTAGGATTCTTTATTTATAGGTATCTCTTAGAGGAGTGTCTTTTTAAAACTTGTGATAGCCTTACTATAATGTAGAAGTTCTTCACATTATTCTGCGATATGGTAGACATATGTGCTATATAAGTATTGCACACTCTTCTATTGGTATCACTAAAGCTCCTTGGGCTGGAGTAGACATATTTGCCCTGATGTTATTTCCTCACACCTAAAATAAATTAGTGTGGGATTAAGGGAAACTAAGCCATGAAACTAAAGAATGGAAGCAGGTAACAGTGAGCCCCTTACAGGTTTTTCCTTTTTCTTACATTCTATAAAAATCATCTGCTTTGTCTTTTCTATCCTTTGTTTTAATTTTTCAGAAAATGTGTGTGTGTGAAAGCGCACATGTGCATCTTCTTTTTTTTTTTTTGGTACCGGGATCGAACTCGGGACCTTGATGTTTCGAGGCAGGCACTGGAACCACTGAGCTAAATCCCCAGCCCTTCATATGCATGTTCTTAAAGGTATGGATTCTGAGACTGAGCATACAAAGCAAGAGCCATAGTTATTATGTTTTACCAGCTTTCAGTCCCCGAAATTATTAGGACAAAGCAGAAACTCTGATTTCTACATGCCTTGCTGTTGGTGGTGTAAGCCAGATGGGCTACACAAATGTGACAAGCTAAAATTTTGTCATGTTTAATTCTGACCTCCATCTGAATGTGCTAGTTGTAGGCATGTTCCATGTTTTCTTAACCAGCAAGATAAGAGTGTGTGTGTGTGTGTGTGTGTGTGTGTGTGTGTTTTGAGGGGAGGTGTTGGGGTGAGAGGATAAGACACAAACATATGCCAATAACACATAAATTAATATGTAAATATCAATATAGGATGTAAGTAGTAATGATTAGGGAAAACTTCATTTTAGATTCTTCTCAGTTTCTTGGAAAGAACTCCAGAGAGCTTTAGCAAATTTATTCCATATCAGTAGAGAGATGAGGTTATGGTTTTGGCTCTGTCACCAGATAGCTGTGGGATTTAGGCAAGTTATTTCTACTGTCTGAGCCACAATTTCTCTCTATAGGTGAAACTGGGAGATTGGACTCTGCCAAGATCACTGCTTCTTTTTCACCATCATTTATTCTTTGCCTTTGCTAAGACAAAAGCTGGGAGTAATTGCATTGGCAAACATAATTCAAGAGCCAACTTTACAATGGGTAAAATAGAACCAAACAGGAAATTTGCAAAATTCCCTTGACCTGTGAACTGTACCTTTTGCTTAACTGTACCAGTTTTTATTATTATTATTATTATTATTTATTTTTTTGATACTGGGGATCGAACTCGGGACTTTGCCCTTGTGAGGCAGGCAGTGGCACCACTGACTGAGCTAAATCCCCTGCCCTAAGCTTTTATTATTTTTAAAGATCATATGTTCTCACTCAGTTGATGATAATGTACATGGTTTTTTATGAGACCATGGCTGAGTTATTCAGGAATCATTCCTTGCTGGCAGGTTGGATCTGCTGGTCTCATAGGACAAAAGGCTTGAAGGACCTCGCAACAGAAGGAAAGCTTCATGAGTTTTAGGAAGGTGACACTATGGATGCTTCAGCTTCTAAGTTCTGGAAATGATCACCAGCCTTAGTTTACCTCTGATTTGAAGTTGAGTAGCTGCAACTTGTACCTACAACATGGCACCACTTCTGTCTTCAGGCTACAAACTCTGTCACACCATTTCCTGAAAACCTGGGAAATGACTGGGCCAGATTAAGTTGGTGACATCATGGGACACAGGATACTTTGGAGAGAGGAGTCATGCCTCTCATTTTCCACACAAGCTACCAGAAGGCATCTGAATGTTACTGTACTCAGCTGAAAACATCAACCTTTGGCAGGAGGAAAGTAAACAAAAAGGTTTTGGTTCCTCTCCTTCAGCAATGGAGTCATGGCAAAAGACAAATTAGAATCTTTGGAAGTAGGATAGCAAGAAATAGCATGATACATTTGAAATATTCATTTGATAATTAAACATCTGAATGGTTTGCAGATTGGAATTTAATATGCTAAGGAGTGAAATGAGATGACAACACTGAAAATGTACTCCAAGGTTCCCAATTCCCCGGCTCTAAGGAATTCTATCACTGTTTACTCAGTGTTTACATGTCTAGTTGCAGGCAATTGTAGGATATATTACATCTGAGTTGAACTTCTGGACTAATTCCATTCCCAGAAAAAGCAAACACCTTGGATTATTTTCTGTCCATGTATTTCAAAACATCTTTGGTTCTCCTATTCCTCTCCTCTTTTTCCCCTCCACATCTTTGATTCCCTGGCCCAGCCTTCTAAGTGCTGTGGTTCTGCGTGCCACTCTGGTTTTGGCTGTTAGCTCTGGAATTAATAGAATCATAGGATTAGAGCTTTTATAGCTCAAGAGAGTGGTAGATATTATCTGGTCCAAATCTCTATTTTGAAGCAGACACTACAGCCAGGTGAAACAGTACCGGTGAGGCTGGGGGGTGCTAGTTCTGAATTCCTGCATCTGCCTGCCTCCTTGTCCCATGAGTGACCACAGGTAAGGACACACTTCAGCAGCCATATACTCACATCATGGAGAACAGAACAAAGACCTATCCATTTGGCTTTATCCCTGCTGATAATGAGTTCTTTCCCTGTCTTGAAGCTATTAGTTCTTTCCCACCTATCTATAATCTTGTTTTCGCTATCTATGGGAAAGTGTAATTTTAACCTACCCAATAATATATCTGCTTATGATTATCTAAATAAAGTAACAAAATGGGCACCTTTTCAGATCCTACGTGAGTAATCCTCATTCTGCTGTCTCTCGGCACTGAGCATTAGAACAAATTGCCTGATGCAACATGAACAGTTCCACTTAATGCAGAATCTGTTTCTTTCATTTCCTGAGTTGGAAGGAGGTAATTCATTGTATTTCAATAACATAGTAATAAATAGAAAGTTTGACTGAAGAGCCTGGATGCTTTGGAAGCACAAATTCAAATCCCCTCTCCCTTTGCTATAGAAACACAGCACAGATTGACTGGAGTCCTTGAAATACTGCACACAGAGAAAGAGACCCTATATCTATCTATCTATCTATCTATCTATCTATCTATCTATCTATCTATAAAGTTTATGAAAACAGTATCTCCTTGGAACCAACATGTAGATTTCATGTAGATTTCAGTTCTTCCTTCAACTTCACAAAAAGACCAGTGTGTTTCCTTTATGGCAGACTAAACATTTGTTGTGAAAACAACTTGGTATACTATGTGAATGTATTGCTATGCCTTTTAATTTAGAATGAGCAAATTTTAAGACTGAGTGAAAGACATTATGGAACATCATTTAAATCTCAACTTCTTAATACTTTATAGGAAATGATACATGATGTAAATCAATCATATATCATCAAAAACCCGAGAAATCAACAAGAGACAATTATGAACCTTGATATACAAATATATCATTCATATAAAATACGAGAAAGATAAATATATGGCAATAGACAAGTGGGTCTGGGTGCTAGGTGAATGTAGTAATTATTCCTCATTTAAACCTAGGGCTAACACATAATCTTTAAGGGAAGCATTATTGATCAGTCTGTGTCTCCTACTCATACAATAAACTCGGGTAAAGTTCAGAGATCCTGTCTTTCAAGCTGCTTTCCTGGCTCCAGGCTTTTCATAAAGGAGTGATAACCTTGCCAAACACTTGGCTATCACCAGGTACATGACTGTGGCCTGAACACACCCAGGCTGGCAATGGAAAAAAAGGCTTTTTTCCCAGACTCATTTTCAGAGACCACGAAGAAAGATCAGGATCTGTAAATTTAGCTCAGTACCTGCATAGTGGGACATCATCACTATCATTTGTCCAAGTCAGTGGATATAGTGGTGATGGTAAGTGTCTAGTTTGGATCAGAGATCTGACTGACCCCCTCCCCCCATTTGAATTTCTTGGTTCATTTATGAAAGCCAAGCAAATGAGTGTGACCATTGCTTAAGTCTGAAGAGCATGAAAACAGAAAGAGTAAATGGGGACTCTGGTTCCCTGTGCCCTCATGAACTGACACCTTGGCTTTCTGCAGGTAAAGGTGGCCATCACTGAAAAAGCAAGTATCCTTATTCCCACTCCCACCTCAGGCCCATTTTCAGGAGGGCTGGGAGCAGGTTCCCTGGGGAGGTTAATATTTACCCAAGGATGAAACAAATCGCTCTCCAGACAGGGGTAAGGGAAAGCTCTGGTTTCAGAGAACATTAGCAAGGAAAATGATGCTTTCTGGCATTGCTAACATCATCTGTCCACCTAAAGCTCCCTGCCTTGTTGCAGTTTTCCCTGATGTACCCAAACAATCTGTTGCTGGCCTTCTTCTGCTCCCCACCACTCAGAGTGCACAACCAGCTGGCCAGCCAGCCAGCCAGCCAGTGCCTTCCAGCCTTCAGCAGCCCAGCACCTTCCTGCAGCTCTCAGTTCTATGTCCTGAGCAACAGAGGTGAGGGCATCCCGCCGCCTGTCAACTCACCGGGGACCAGTGGTTTCTTGGGATTTGAGTCCTCTGGTGTCCGCAGACCAGGGCGCTTGATGCTTGCAGCCTTGTTGGACTCCTCTTCCTCGGCTGGCTCGCGAACAGGAACAGCAGCCACCTGGGACAGCCCGCCGCGTGAGGCTGCCTAGTGGGTGGGCCAAGGAGCACAGGGAAAGGGGTGGGATACAGTGTGAAGCGCAAGTACTGGCTCCTGCCTTGGTTTCCCTCTTTCCTCTTCAATTATTCTTAAACTTCCCTTTTACTGGCCGGACCTCCTCACCTTTCACCTTAGCCAGGGCTCTGAAACTCTTTGCTCTATCAATGCTCCTGCCCTGCTCTCTCTCCCTTCTGCGGGCTCTGCTCTTTGACCCTAACCTTAGTCCCCTCAAAAGCAGGCACTCGGTTCAAGCAGCCAGCCACACACAATAAGGGCAGGGGAAGAAACTGTCAAGGGAAACTGACAGGAATCGCTGATGCGGTGGTGTGAATAGAAGGAGAGAGCAAGAGGGAGAGCGAGCGAGCAAGCATGAGCGGGGGGGGGGGGGGAGAGCCGCATCCACACTCTTGTAGGCACACTGAAGCTTCAGCCGCTAGGTACCGGCTGAATGGAGCCACCCACCCTCGCCGCCCCGCTCCCGCCACCCTCCAAATCCCTTTTCTAGACTAGGGGTTTCTGTTCCCTTCTGGGAAATGCTATACAGAGAAGGGGAGAGAAAAGGGAAAAGCAAAAAGGGGTGAGGAGGGGAAAATCAAGAAGGTGCGCTCCCCTTCTCCTCCCCACCCCTACCTCTAAAAATGTCTAACCCTGAGCCCTCTTTTTCTCTTCTGTCCGCTCCTGGATTCCCTCTGGTGCTGTTCTCTTTCTCCTCCTCTTTGAGGTGTCTGGGAGCTGCGGAGAACCCGTCGTGGTTTCGAAGTGCGTGCGTGTGTGTGTGTGTGTGTGTGTGTGTGTGTGTGTGTGTG